AAGACAAGACAAGAAGACGAAGGTGGGGAGATAGAGCAAGATGGGCAGATGGGAAGCGTGCGCCTCAAGAATGCTAGTATGTGAATGCTATCATAATACGCTGGCGACGCCATGCCAGTAAAATGAATCATTTGGCATTATCTCGACAACAAGTAGCAGCGAGGAAGCAGAGCAGAGTGGAGTGGAGTGGAGTGGAGTAGGGAAGGAGGAAACAAAACCAAAAGCTGGCACAAGTGTGCAAGTCGAGAGTCTCTCTCTCTCTCCTCACTGCAATTGCGGCTGCATCTTGACCAGACGCCTATCATCCTCATCATCATCATCAACAGCAGCAGCAGCAGCAAGTGGGGGACAACGGTCAGTGGACGATGGAGCAGCTCTGTTAAATGCAATTTACTTAATACCCGACGAGTTAGTCCGGCTGGCTTATTACTTCATAACGTTTATGGCCGGCAAATGAAGTAGTAGAGCACATCGTTGGGTTGCGTGTTAGGCGCTTAGAAAAAGAAAAACCGGTGGAAACAACTTCAACTAAAACTATGACTCTGACGATGATGATGACAGCACGACGAACAGCAATTAAGTGACAGAAAATATGAGATAAGTGAGCAGCAGAGGCTCCCTCCCCACTCGTCGGGCGACAGTCGCAGTTATTTACGTAATAGCTCCAACAATGATGACAAGAATAGCAGCAGCAAGCAAACAAACAAACAAACAAGCTGCAAGTTGCAAGCTGAAGTTGCAAGTTGAAATTGGAATTTCGCAACAACTTGTGACATTTTTTGGTGAAGCAACAGCGCCAGCAATAGCTGCTGGCTTCTGCTGTTCAATAATGCAATGAAAACAAGTACAAGTATATAGAACCGTCGAAGAAAGCAGTAGGAGAACTTTCAAAAAAAAACTCTTATAAAAGTGGCCAAAAGTTGTTGCATCTGAAGCAGAAGCAGAAGCAGAATCAGAAGCTGTTGCCAAATGTGTGTGCAATTGCAAAATTTATGAGCTGCATTCAGTGGAAAAATCGTGTGGAAAATAAGATAGAAATTGCCAAGCGCATTTGAGAGAGTCATATAAAATACTCGTACGAGCACTTGCGGGCACCAATGTTGGCACAGAAGATAGATGGATTGAAATATATGCGCCAACTTTATGGCCATGAACGAGCGTACAGTCAACAAAGCTTACATGGAATACAATATTTATGCAAACAAAGGGCTTGATTCGATATTTGCGAATGACACTAAATTAGGTGTTTTAATTAAACACAACTCAAAGAATTACAATCTGTTCTAAATAGACCTGCTTGGGAATATTTAGAGCAACCCCTAGAAGCAATTTAATAGAACAATCCAATATCCAACATAAGTATAAAAAAACAGACGATGATCTTTAGTCTACAAGTTATATAAAAACTGGATATTATCAACAAAGCTTATTCTACGATCTCCTATTATTTCGTTTTAGTTCAGAACCATTGCATCGAGAGACTGCTCCTTAAAAGGGTTTTGAAGTAAAATCAATTCCTAATAGTTTAATAAGAATCTGCTTAGGAAGCAAACAAACTTGCGAATAAAAGCAAGACAATAGCAAGGGTTTATTCAAGGATCTCCAAAGTATTTAGAGCAGCAAAATTTCATAGTAGAACCCAATATCCCACCTTTTTATAACAAACCGATTATACTTTTTAGCCTACAAGTTGGATAAAAACGTAATATTAACGACAAATTTCCGAATTTGCTCACTCATTCACAATTTCTTTTTATTTCGGAAGCATGGCGTCGAGTGAAGGCTTTTATATCTCTATTTAAATCCCTTCACACGCTGTCCCAATCGCAAACATAGGCTTCGCGTTTTTAGCCTCCTACGTATATGTTTCATTCACGATTGATTGCCAAGAGTTAAGGGCGGCCAAATATGGTTATAACGTATAACTGCAACTACTGCCAAACTGTTCATTAGCCATGCTCCAACACACACACGCACACAAACACAGACCAACACAGACACACACCCTGCTGCTGTTCAATGTTTATTATTGTTTCTGCTGACTAACCACGCCCTTATATGGGGGCACCCCAAGCGCACAGCTGTTGTCGCGGCTCTGCTTATATCTTTCGTTTTAAATACCAAACTATTGCACATAATTTTCAGAAAAGTTGTTTTTACCCAACTTGTTTAGCGACTGGCCGGCCTGGCCAGACTCTTTCATACCTACCACCTATCTGTATGGCTGGCAACAACAATAACAGACAACAACAACAACAAAAAATTGTAAATAAAATAACATTTAAAATATCTGTATACGAGAAAATAACAACAAAATACACGCTCGCAAATAACAAGCGTGTGTGGGCGTTGAAAGACAATTAGTCGCATGCCGCATAAAACGAGTTTGGTGAGTCAACTTTTCGTATGGCCTATGCCTCCAAAAACAACAATAACAACAACAACAACAAAAAAAGAGCAAGCATATAACGACGACTCCAGCTCGAATTTCAACGAAACGAAACAAAATTCTGCACTGCATAAATATGAATATGAAATTTGAAGAGGAAGCGGCAATCATCAGCGTATTTTACGCGCATATCCTGAACTCAGAACTGTATAGTAAAAAAATTTATAGAAAATTGTATTGAAAACTGGACGAAGAGCGACCATACAAAAGCATTTTGTGTTTGCCAAAAGGGGTGCTGTGGAATGTGGGGCTGTGTGTGTGAATCGCTCGTATTAGTGGCATTTCAATTTTTCTGTTTGTTGTCAGTCAGTCAGCCGTTTCATCAAATTGTTGCCAAAGGGGAGGCAGGTGGTGGCGCAGGGAGCGTTTGTCTGTTGCAATCGAAATGCTGCACCCACAGCACTGCAGCAGCAGAAACAACAACAGCGTGTCCATGTTTGACCATTAAAAGCTTTGCTAAATGACTCAGCATTGACAGTTGCCGCAGACGTCGTGTGTTCTCTTTTCTTTTTTTTTTTTTGCTGTGACTCTAAAACTGTTTGTGACGACTGCAGTGTCTGTGTCTGTCTGCGATTTGCGGCACTTTTTAAATAAAACTCATGGCATTTGCGGATTGTATTTACTGAGCATTTGTTTTAATGCAGCTTTTGAAGCTCTCTTTGCATTGTTTTTGTTGGTTTTTCCACTTGGTGCATCGCAGCCAATTGTTTAAATGAACTCCCATCTAGCAATAGAACAGCCACACTCAGAGCAGCTTACCTTCACTTAACTCTTTTTAGCTTTATACGTTAGATAAAGTATTTGTTATATATATATATATATTTTTTTTAATGAATGTCAGCACGATCCTTGAATACCCTATTAAACGCTTTAAACTAACATAAACTTTGGTGCACCATTCACTTCTCTGCTAGCTTTATAGTATATGTAGTTCGATTTATTGATATTTAGAATATAACTGAAAATATGAAATTTTTAAGTGAAATCCGAATCGATCGCTAAATAAGTTATGTAATAAACTTGGTCTGCAGGTAGCAAAGACAAGTCTAGATCCAACATTTTGTGTCCCTAGCTTTTATGGTTAATAAGTTCTCAGGGTTCATACAGACGGACAAAGAGACAGCAAACTAATAGAAGAACAACAGAATAACAATAATTAACAGTGAAATATCTTAATATCTACATACGGCTATTTTAAGTTAACACAATTTCTTTATACTCTCTTTCTACTCTCTAAAAACTATCACAGATCATAAATATTTGCGACAATCTTCTATGTAAGCATGAGAGCGGTAAATATAATTTATGTAGACTTTAAAACTGCAGTTCCTTATTGTTTTCCTTGATTTCTCAAGCATTAAAAAAATTTTTTTTCTTCGATCTCAGAAAATAAATGCGAAACTGGAAAACGACTGGAAATAAGGCTGCCCCAAATTTCTGTTTCCCAAATCGAGAATTGATAAATGATCCCTTATCCGAATAACCCGAATCGGTTCTAAAAGTGGCCAGCGAAGAAAAGGAGGATAACTAAATGAAGAGTAAAACTATTGAAAGGGTTCGGAATTGAAGCGCTAGAGGCACCAACCCATAGATTTCCTTACCAATAGCCCCATCATTGCATAAGCTCTGCGCTCCATATGGTTATAGATAGAGATGCATCTGTGTCCGCCATAAATATGCCGCTTTTAATGTTGATTTATTGCTTGGTTGACAATTCGTTTCTTCGTAAAATTAATAACAAATATTTGTAGGTGGTAACGAGTCTATGTTTGTGGCCGTAGATACCCACGAACGGAATGAGTGGGCCGGTCAGTAAGCCAATTGTTTGGACTATTGTTTGCCAGTGGCGGCTTTTGTTTGGTTTGTCAGCAAGTCGGCCGCTCCTATGGCTGTGGTTTTATGCAGCTACACAAATAAAAGTCGGCCAATAAATATTTGCAGTCGTATTTTATTGAATGCAATTGAACTAGACGCATTCGCTTTTCAACAAATAAAATAGAAACTATTGGTGTTATATTTCGCCTACGGCTTTGAATCAAAGCAACAAGTTAAAATTTTCCATTTAAAATGGACAACAAAATTTCTATCATTGATTAAATTCCCTCTCTAGATTCTACAAATATTTTAGAAGAGTTATGTAGGACCTTTGAAATATATTTATCTGCTCTTGCATTATTTAAAACTAGTACAGTATTTGTCCTGTATATTGTCAGCATAGATATTAAAAACGCATTTACTGACAAAGAAAAGATTTCTATCATTAATTGAAGTCCCTCTCCAGATTCTGCAACTATGTTAGAAGCATTACGTAGGAGCTTTTAAAATATATTAATCCTGCTCTATCCAAAACTATATACGAGTACATATCTATCCTGTATATTGTCCGCATGCATATGGAAATGTACAGGGAATTGCTGAATAATATTGGACATATCATTAATTAAATGCCCTCTACATTTATTTCCTAGAATCAATTATAATCCAAGATTTTTGATTTACTGATAGTCTTTAAATAGATGTTAATATTTCCATATTATAGTTCAGCACTCACTTAGTCTGCCAAAGCTGTGTGATAGCCTCTTCTTGATCTTTTGCAAAGCGCCGCCCTTCTTCTCCCGCATTGTGACGCCTGTAAAAAGAGAAAGACAAGAAAATAAATATTACTGATATACATACGATATATTTACATATAAACCCATAGACACAATAATTTAGGCAAATTAGTTAATTAGTTGCATGTGTCGAGAGATTAATGAAGTGTTGGACTCTTTCCAAAAATATCCAGTATACATATAGTAATGTACGAGCGTGTATATCTTTAGGTTACTACATATATACATAAACACTAATCATTTTCTATGCCACAAACAAAAGGCAGCACAGATGCGCTTTTAATGGCCAGAACAGTTTTTTGTTTTTATGAGACAATATTTATTGTAATGCATGACAACACCCCACGATCCCACGCATAATGCCAACAACCACAGCAACAACAACAACAACAACCACAACACAAATAACATGAACAATTATAAAACAAAACACAAAATGAAATCAAACTAAAACTTTTTGCTGCAGTCCCCCAGACTACAACAATAACAACAACAACAACAATATACTGCATTGTCGGCGTCTCTCTCCAGACGAGCAACAAAAATTGACGTTATAAATTAACATAAATCAGTGGAGCGTGGTGTGCCATAATAAATAGGGTGACCCTACCACTGCGACTGCGATTGTGGCGGGACAAGGCAAGTGAAGTTCCCAACACACACACATACTCGCATGCATTTAAAAATAAAACCAATTTCATTCTAAAATACAACAACAATGCAACAGGGTCGGGGCTTTGTTGTTGTAGTTGTTGTTGCATTGGGGGGAAAATGACTTGAGGGCATATGTTTTCGATTGGGGGCGTTCGTTAGCTTGTTTGTTTGTTAGATTTCGTCCATTATTTGCATGCGGCTTTAACATAATTAAGTTGGTGCTATTGTGATTGTTATTGTTATTGTTTCTGTTGTTGTTGCCTGTTCAGTACACACAAAATAATAGCATTTACGGAGTTATTATGAAGTCCATTGAGGCCTGACACAACTATTGACTGAGTGTGAAATTACATGATATGTGAGGTTGAATCACAAATGATTGTGCACTCTGATTGTATAATGGAAAATACTATATATTTTAAGTTATAGCTGAGGGCTGTACCTGGTTGTATGATTATTTAAATTGACGATTGCATTTAAACTTAAATAAGTGGTAACGAACACGACGAATTGAATTGCCGCAAATGCAATTTTATGGAAAGTTTGTCCGCAACTGTTACTTTATTTCTTTTAAAAAATTAACTAAGCCACAACTTGTACATATTTGTCGTAATTATATTATTCTCTAAGCTTTTTATTGTCATCAAGTACCGTATTATGCTTAAATAAACTACCAATTGAACACAAATAATTGTTAAAATACAATAAAAATTTAAATTAATTAAAATGCTGAATGAATGATGACTGCACAATTAGCTTTGACAAAATTTGACCCACAAGTGGGTTAAAATGGCAGTCAAAACTTTTGAAAATAGTGATAGACATATTTTTAAAGTTGTCCTGTTAATGTTGTATATAAATACATAGCTTTCCAGTTCATTGTCAACCAAATGGGGGTTATGAAATATTACTTTTAAGTGTGATAACTACATATGTGGGATCTACACATCTCGTTCCATTCTACTTTCTTTTAAGCGATAAGAAATATTTCCCTAAATAACCAAGTAATTACTAAGAATTGTGTCATAAGAATATATTCACTGTCCGATTTTGATTTCAGTTCAGACAACAAATAAGCAATCATTAAATATTTCAAGAGCACCATCAGAACTGAAACCGCAATTAGTCTTAATTCGGAGCACATACTCGTTCAGAGCACAGAAGTGCTTCAACAAATGATATTCAAATGACTATAACATTCGCTCACTTCCTACTGTTTTGTGCGTGCGATGTGCATAAAATAAAATAAAAAACCATTAAGGAAATTGGCACTTGAAAAGCAATTTATCAAACTTATCAAGTTTACAAAAGTGTCAATGCGGTTTGTTGCTCATCATAATGATGCCCACATCGGTTTTGTGGGCGCGCATTATCAGACAATTAAACAAAATGAATTATTTGTGTAATAGTATGTGTGGCGGCACTAAATCATTTAATAAGTGTCTCTCTTCTTTTTTTTTTTTAAGTCTACAATGCGCGATTAAGCGACTGTTGTTGTTGATGTTGTTGTCAAAAGCAATTTGGCTTAACAACCAGTCTAGAGGCAGCCCGACCAGTTTAACCTTCTGCTTCCCAACCCGTTGCTGTCGCTATTCAAGCAATTTATTATGGTTGTGTACATAAGTGTGTATCTGTGTGTATGTGTATGTGTGTGTGTATGTTTATGTATGCATATCCCAACACTCCAACTCAATTACAGCCATAACTGTAAGCTGTTGTTGACTTCAAAACAGCAATTCAAAATCATAGCCGACCAAGCGACGAGAACAAAGAACAACTACAGCAGCAGCAGCAACAACAACAACAACAACTGCTCTTACAGCGACAAAAAGAACTCTACTGGGGGGGTTATTATGAGATTGCAGTATATACATAAGTAAGTGACTCAAAAGTGATTATGATGCTGAAGCGAGTTGACAACAACACCAACAAATGCAGCAACAAGAGCAGCTAACGCCTGATTGCATATAAATTGCAAGCACTGTGCAACACACTCGACCACACTTAACCACACATGCCACAAAAATGCACAAACAATTTACATAAATGTAAATGACATTCAATGCATTTTGTAAAAGGCGCCAGCATAATGCCACTTTTTGGTCCACTCCACCAAAACATATTTCAAAAATAATATATATGTATATATACATGCATGTATACTCCAGCATGGAGTATTCTACAATTGTGCGGGGCTGGCTTTTAAATACCCTATATCAGCTATTATACATGAGCTTTGAGTATTAAGAGTTACGCGAAAAAAAAATATAATATCTATACAGCGACATTATTAAAGAAAGGGCTCGCTTGTGAAACTGATCATGGGTCGTTGAGCACTTCTCAACATCTGTTCACTGCTCTCTTTCTGCTCGTGGGTAAGGGCTGCTCACTTGTTCACTTTGCTCAGAGCTCACATCTGCTCATGGCTCTGTCTACGGCAATGGTTGGAGTTCGTCGCTCCTGGGACTTTTTCTATATTTTGCAAAAATTTAGAACTAATTTAATATTTATTTTAATCATTTGCGTTCTGCATACTCATGGTCGTTAAACAACAGAAGACTTCGTAAGTACCTATTCACAAAGTTTAATTCAGATCAAGCTAAAATTTGACAGATAACCAATGAACATTTTCTAGGCATATCCTAGAATTAATAAAATCTCATCTTGTTGTATAGATCAACAAAATATACTCTGTAAGGCCTCTTTCTGAATGCTCTAAGCAAGTAGTATGCCCTTTTGGTCTTTCAGCATAATAGGGTATTATCGTGCATATGGTTGAGAATGGTTCCCATAAATGTGTTTAACAAAATTGTTTTAAAGCACAGCAAATAAAAGATATACACATACTCGTACATACTCCGATCTATGCATGTATATGTGAGCCTTTCATTACCTAAATTGGCTGCAGGGACAGACTTGAGTAAAACCAAAGTCATCGTCGTCGGCGATGTTGTTTTTAAAAACCCATTAAAGCTAAAAGTTTTGCAAATGAAATGCAAACAAGCCGACAACAACAACGAGCTGCAAGCAGCAAGCAGCAAGAACACGCAGCGAGTGGCAAGTTGCAAGCAACAAGCAATGAGATGCAACTGAAACTTTCAGCAACTTGGCAATTGTAGATGCGTGTGTCTGAGTGTCTGAGTGTGTGTGTGTGTGTGTGTTTAAGAGTTGTCGTCAGGCAATGCACGAAACTTATTTAATTAAGGCAAAAAAGGCAGTGTTGGCTCGCGCAACTTTATTTGCTGCAACTTCTGGTGGCAAGTGCAGCAAGTACAGCAGCCATCGAATTGAAACCATCAACGAGCATTGCATTAATGAGATGCGCACGCACACATCAAAATACAAATAAATAAAAAATGAAGAAATACTGAAAACTTTTAATCAAAATCAATGTCACAAACAGACAAATTGCAGTCGACGATGAGTGTGCCACAAAGACAGACGGACAGACAGACATACAGACAAACAGACAGACAGTCAAACAGATAGATAGATAGATAGACAGGCAGGTGAGTGCGCGCTACTTTTAAGTGGCTGCCTGGTAAACAGTAGGACGGTAGAAAAGTGGGTAGATAGATAGGCAGACTGCAGACGACAGACGGCAGACTGTGCAAAGGAAACAGGCGAGTTCAATAAACTTGACTGATAGCTGATCAAAAGGGGTGGGAGGACTGGGTGGGTGGCAGGCGTCGGTCAGCCAGCCGTGCAATGTGCACAAACAGAAAACGCGGCGCAACAGCTGCGAGGCACAGTGGCTCATATGCACGGTACTTCAGAGAGATCTGAGCAACTTGTCGATGCCGTAGTGGCATATAAACGAGGGTTTATATCATTATATCATTCTGGAAATGTCATTAATAGGAATATCTATTGTAATATGATGAATTGATAGTGAAAATTAGAAATCGGTCTTCGCATCATATTTTTTTAGTTAGAATTGCAAGTGTTGAAATGGATTGCATAATGTCATCTTTAAAGCCCTTTCACTAATTAATTTGTAAAGAGAGAGAGAGAGAGAGAGAGAGAGAGAGAGAGAGGGGAGCCATTTAATTTGATATTGGAAAGTAGAAATGGATCATCTCATAGGGAGCCATCACATAAAGAGAGATAGAGAGACATTTGATTTTATAGTGAAAACTATAAAGTCGTCAACTCATAGGTTCAGAGAGATCTGAGGAACTTGTCCATGCCGTAGTGGCATATAATCGAGGACATTTTAAAAACGTAGTTAATAGGAATATCTATTGTAATAATGATATATATGATGAATTGATAGTGAAAATTATAAATAATCCTATTTTAATTAGAAGTTGCAATTGTTGGAATGGATTGCATGTTATAGGGTTAAATAATATCATCTTTA